GAGAGAGAGAGAGATGCATCGCAGTGCATCGTGTACACGCGGTTATCGATAATCGTGTCAATTTTCTGTATCGCGTGGTCACGCCTTACACGTGCGTGCCATCCGAAATTGCATTTCTCTGTATCGGCTGTCACGGCGAGCGACGCGCGCCGGTGGCTACGATTCAATTTGTACCGGGATTACCGAGATCCTAATCACGTTTGAGGTGGGCGCTTGCCCTCCCACCCCCTAGAAGCGAGGGATGACCGACAACGTCCGTCCATTTCCAAAGTTGTTCGTTGTTTAACCGCGGAACGAGATCCCACATGCTCTTCCTGCAAAGTGACCTAGTTAAAATCAGAAACCCTTCTTTTTAATCTGGAGTTATTAATGTAAGAAGTACGCACGATTATTAATCAATGAAATCAATTAAACCTCTTTTAAATCATAATAACGTAAGGATTTTTTAGAATATCTTAAAATCTGATTTTTCACGCACAAATTATACCAATAGAGTTGATAAAATTATTTGAAAATTGCTTTTATCACAATAATTTCAATAATTACAGTAATTAGAATAATTTCATATTATTATGTTTAGGGGTTTGCAATATTTCGCTTTGGTTAACGCCAGATTAATGTACAAAAACGGAGAAACTCTCCGTCTTCTTCTTCTTCTTCTTCTTCTTCTTTTCTTTCTTTTTCTTTCTCTGAGATCACGCTTTCTGAAATCAGACTCTCCAAAAGTGACTTTCCTAAATTTGGGAATTAGAAGGAGAGTCCAGAGTTACAGTGGAATGAATCGGAGCATAAATCGAGAACCACTGTCGATGCCTGCGTTTTTAGTGTCACGGTCGTATACACGACGGGACGTATTCTTGTTGTACAAGCGCACGCGAGTTCTCGGGAGCGCTTTGGCTCGGAGTTGCTCTCAGATATTTATCACTGTATTAAGAATTCCCCGCGAAGACTCTCGATGCCCGATAGAGGAGCGAAACGGGCTCGTGACATCATGGGCTGCAAATGCACGTTCGCGGCTTATCCCTGGCCAGACGACCCCGACGCGAAATTCGTGTGGCCACTTATGGTGTGTGCGCAATCAGGGCGCACTGGAAATGTCGCACTTGAAAACCGGCGGGCGAGATCCTTGAGGTGGAAGGTTCGGTGACGAACGCGAGCGTTTTGGATTGGCGTAAAAAGGTACCGACGAGAGTTCTGACGCTCGCTCGCTCGCTCGCTCGCTCGCTCGCCCTTGGAGGAAAGGCCGAATCACGTTACGAAGTACGAACATCGGCCAACGAAAAAACGAAAAAAAGAAAAAAAAAGAAAATAATAAAACGACCCGAGTCTGAAGGATTCCGCGAGGCGATTCGTAACGCAGTGCCGGAACAGTACATCCATTGTGACCCGGCGTGATTACACGTGCGCGCAAATAACCACGTATGGTTTCACATCCGATGACTTCATGGTGCTGATATAGCTCGCGTTATTCAACATTCGCTTCGTTCCGTTTGGGCATTAGCGAGCAGTCGAGCAGTTTACGACTGGCTAGTGTTTAGCACGCGATAGAGAGAAACTCGAGATTTTAATAAAGTATACGAGCGCCATTGATCATGAGAAAGAGTATCGTGCAGCTTTGGTCATCGGCGATCGCCGTGACTCCGGAGTAACCGGTGCAGGTTGTAGCACTCGCAGGAGGATTTGAGGGACTGTAATATAATAAATTTGGAGCAGTCTTAATCACTGGGAGGGCGTCACTTTTCCAAGACGCGCCGTCTAGTTCTCTCTGACGTCAACGTAACGACGCGTCAGCGAAGAGGTCAGGCTGCATCGCTTCGTCTTAGGAGCGCAATTACAAAAGTTTCCCTTTTAACGTTAATTAATGAGAGAGTCCGCCGTACCGTACTTCATTATGGCGCTATCCATTACGGAGGCGGCCTCTTCTCTCGAGTTGGGCATGCTTTCAATTCTCCCCCGGGAGAAAGACCGTGCCAAACTGATTTACGGAGATCGACTTTTTCTTCATCTCTGCATAAAGTTAGCCCCGTTAACCATAACCGTACGTGGCGATTCGTCTCGTTTTGCGAAACCCGCGATTTCGATACGCGGAGCACGCAACGCGCGTGACGATATAGTATTCACTGAAATCAATCGCTGTTTAAGGAATCCTGCCGCGAGCCTCCACCTGGAATTCGATCGCGTCCTTCTCAACGGAAAAACGTAAGTGGACCGATGCGTATTTTCAGACTGCGAGGAATGAATAATTGCTTCGTCCGTACGGTTTCATTCGATTCCAGAAAGAATAAGAATAATTCGCACAATTAGGAATAGGCTTTAAATAATTTGCGATTTAAATTAGCAAATTTAAATCCGTCCCAATCCGCCAGCTGCGCTAATTTGTTTGAAGAACCGCTCTTGTGGCGTGCGATCGAGAGTCATCTTGTACACTCGAGAATAAATTTGCTCGCGGGTGTGATTAAAGTCGGCGAAAGTTCCAGGAGCGTCAATCTTGAAGAACGCGCGGAAAATGATGACAGTAACGTTTGCGGTAAGCTCAAATGATACGCACAGAGACATTTGTTCACGCGGTACATGCGGATGACGCGTTCGTCCGCGGTTACCGGTTCGCCTACGGATTTCGACGCATTCGCCAAATACGGAGCATCGAAGCCGAACCCGAGGAGCCGCGCGCCGTCTGGTTTTCTGCCCACGCCGTGACCCGCCGTCGCTTTTTACGGAAAACGCGAACAGACGGGCGTGGTACTTTCGCTCCTTAAGTGAAATGGTCCACGGATGCGCTGTGCACGTTATTAATTTTTAATTAGCGGCCCGCCCGTAATAATCACCGTGAATGAATTTCGAATGAAAATCTGTATCTCGCCATTTAGAAAGTCAAAAACTACTCGCTCGATTCGAGATTTCATATTCATTTTCTTGTTCTGGAAAAATGCGGAATCACCTGATTTGATTCCCGCTTGATTCCCCTTCGTTCTTAGATGTGACGACTGTGACTGTAATGCAAATAGAGAGAAATGGAGGAGCTCAATTACGGTTACCGTTAGGCAAAGTTGGTGCGAAAGTTGCCCCGCAAGTAAATCAGTTTATGCTTCAATTCAATTGTTCAACTACGGTCGTCCGCATCTCTTCATGTAATATGGAATAGATCCCGACGTTATTTGTCATACGGTATCACCCTGTAGGTCACCGCTAGGTCTATAACGCCTCTATGATAATATCTTCGTTCGTGTAATGACGTTTCATTACACATGTATATCGCAATCACCATAAGAAACAGGCATTCATTAAAGTTAATAAACGTCTTTAGATATAAGTGTACGTGAGTATTTTTTTTAAACGACTGAGACACACCTCGCGTCTTTGATGCCCATGTGTCGACTTCACGTCTCGAGTATATTAATATTTCAATCAAATAAGAAAATTATTCACCCGATTTATTTCCAAGGACGTATGCGGCAGGAAACAAACATTACACGAGCATAAATGACTTAAACGTCTCTGCTCGCGACGTATCTCTGTTTATTACTTTTTAAAACATTCTTAAAACGTTCTTTTTTAACTTGACGTGTAATTGGCGTAGTTTAAAATTTAAACGCGATATATTTTATCGCTCATAATATGAGCGACACTTTTACTTTATCGGACATAACAACAAAAAATACTTAGCATTCTTTGACTTAGCATTCTCTTATCGCAGATCATAATAATCGTACACTTTTATTTATTTATCACATCATGACTATATAAAGAAGTAGAGTCAATGAAATTTTTTCACAAAAAGTTTCAACTTACTCTTGTCTCAATTTGACGTATAAATAAAATTAATAAGAAAATAAATATTTTATTAAATATCTATTATTTTAATTAGTTTACTACGTAATTAATAATAATAATAGATCTAGGGTGAGATCTTCTCTTGAAGATCCGTCATCGATACTCATTGTCAGACGTAATCTATTATATCTCAGATATATAATTATTATCATCATAACAAAACAATTTACAGCAATTATTCATAAAAAAAAGAGTAAAGAGAGAGAGAGAGAGAGAGAGAGAGAGAGAGAATCTGTCTCTTCATTGTCAATGAATTCGTTTGTGCTAATCAGCGAAACAATTGTTCCTTTGAGTAGCTTGATTTGTTAAAAGAGCCTTATCAAGCTCAGTCACTAAATAATGGACATTGGTGACACTTGTCCGGAGGAAACACCGAGCTACGATCGTCGTAGTTTTGCAGCCTACGTCATCGCTCGGTTTACATCGTGGCATCACGATGGACCGGTTCTGCGAAGGTGCCCCCACCGATTTCTCCGTCGCGTTCGCGGCGCTCGCGGTTCGCAATTTTTCCCGCTGCGAGATGTTGAAAGAAAGAACCTTGCGGTGTATGAATCATTATACGAAACCTTTATAGAAATGAGTATCAGGATGAAACTTTTGTACTTTTCGTACGTAGACTAACACGTGTTTGTAGAGTGTTTATCTCGGCCGTTCTTTTATTTATCATATTTGTGCCGCCGCGATAACGATACGCCTATGTACATTACGAGTTACGTCGCTATTAATTGCAAACAGTAATAGTAATATTGCTATTAATTAATATTACTATAATAGTATTACTAATTGCCATTTCTAATGTGGTTAATGATGTTTTGTGATCTTTTAACGCGATATCGATTTAATTGCATTAAAATATGTTGTAAAAATTGATTGCAATTTACACGAGTTGATCTAGGTACGCTGGAATCCAGTTTGGAATTTTATCTGCGAGAGAGCAACAGGTGTACGCGTGCACACCGACACAGGAAAGATAAAAAGACTACATCCTGCGTTTACATGTGTGTTACGTAACGTGTACGTCGGTACATGTCATGTACGTGTGCGCGCATACGTGCATGAAGCGCGTCTACATTTACGAGTTGATGTAACGCTAAATGCCACCGAGTAATTTTCATTTGCGCGCAATGGAAAGTAGTAGAAAGAATAATCGCGATTATAAAATAAAATATCGCGATATTATCTCGCTTCGTTATATTACGTGCGTTTTACGCACGTCCGTCAAATTTAATAGGTCATATGTCCATACGTCATTCAATGAGCGATCATTTAATGAGAAGTAATTAATACAGAGTGATTGATGGATTAATATATAATGAAGTAGCATACGTTAATTCTCCTCTCGTTAAGCGTTTAGTAACGATGACGAATCCCCGTTACTTTCCGGCGCTGCGCGAACGTTGGAATTCGTCCATCGACTAAGTTTATTAGAATTCGACATTGACATATAAGCGACGCGTGTTATCGCTGTTCAAATACACGCATGAGAAGGAGAATTCGCGAGATAGGCTGCGCGAGAAGGAAAGACGGACTGGCGTGATCTGGCCGTACGTCGTAGCAACATGATACACCTGGCTGGGACGACGGTAGCGGCGCAATGTACGCGCGTGTTCACGGGTCACGCATTTTAACACGCGTTGTCGGTCGTGCACAATGCGCGAATACGTCCCACACCACATACGTGCAGACATACGTGTGGGACATGCGAGGATGGGTGGCAACGTCCCACGTCCGAACGAACGGGCCACGTACGGGCGAACGTGCGGAGAGGCTACGCCACGTCGCGGAAAGTAGGGGTGCCGCGGTGTTCTCCAGGCATAAAAGATCCATGGTTGGTGTATGTCAGTGTCAGTGACGGGAGAGAGGAACGGTGAAGAACCGTGTGGTCACCTAGACCAGCGGCGGCGAGTAGCCGTCGACGCCACATCGACTCGCGATACCGGACCGACAGCATCGGTCCGCATCCTCTCACAAATCGCGGATTTCGGAGCCGGTCCTCCAGCGACCGAGAGTGAGTGAGAAAGAGAGAGAAAGAGAGACATCAAACTTCTGGAGTTTACGGGGCGCGCGAGCGAGAAGAAGCGCGCGCGAGGCTCTCGCGCGCATATCCGCATATACGCGAGCGAGAAAGTTACGAAGATCATATAGAAGAAACGAGTTTGTAAACGAGGCCGGTCACAGCCCGAGCTTCAGTTCGTCTGGGAGGCTCGGGCGCGTGCGAGCGAGCGGTGTGTGTAACGTTAAGTTAAGAGCGAGTAGCGATGATAAATAATTGCGCGCGCCGGCGATAAGCGGGAGCTTCTTCTGTCTAGCTTCTAGGATCTAAGACGATACGTCAAGTCGAAGTGATCGGAGAATTAACACGGTCGGTTAACAGTGTGTCTGATTTTAAAAACAATCTTGATTTTCATCGCGTTTACGACGACCACGAATCTTTCGCGTTTGTGTGAGAAATTATTGTCGAATAATTCTCGAGGAAGGAGCGATTGAAAACGCATCACGATGACTATTCACAAGAAGGGCACGGTGTCAAAGATGAAGAATGCGGGAACGGCGAAGAATGAAGTGGCGACGACCTCGACGTCCACGGACATGGCGACAACGGAGACAGTCGAGGTTGTATCCTCGACCAATGTTGTGGAGGAATCGAAGCAGATGAAGGAGAGCGAATCCCGGAGTAGCACGGTGGAGGTCACGAGCGCCAGTCGCGAGGTCATCATGGATTCCAAAGGTAACGTTATCAAAGTTATCGAAACGCCTCCGCAGACCATCCAGCAGAGCTCGTCCAGCCGAACGAGCGGAAAGAGCTCCCAAGACTTCATAGCCGGGGAGCAGGTGCAATCGATTAAGCAAGCGAGGAGGACGCACGATTTTCCACGCGAGCACGCGACATCTCTTTCGGAAAGTCGCGTGCTTCAAGGTGAAACGACCGAACGAGCCAGCCAGGTGCAAAGTCAGAGCGCGTCCCATTCGACGGTTCAGCAATCGGTCTCCTCGAGCACTTTGATCGAGAGTTCGTCGACGAGCGAAGATCGCAGCGGTCATCGCTCCATTGTCATGATTTCTCATGATACCAAGAATGGAGACCACGTTCCCGTAATTCAGACGTCGTCAAGGTCGACCGAGAATACCCACGTGAGTAGCGAGACGAGCGAGGCCGTAACAAAGGATGGTCAGACGGTATCGAGCACCACTAGAATTCGCGAGACAGGTGAAAGGATCGACGACAACGGCAAGACGATGTCCACGTCGAGCCGGGAAGTTGACAGCGAGCGTACGATCACACCTTCCAAAGTGGCTGTCATTAAGAATTCCGATAACGTCAAAAAGACCGCCGACAAGAGTGGTCGTAGCGATTCGAAAACGGAAAAGTCAAACATCGAAATATCGACGCGCTGTAACAAGCCCGGTCAATCCGCATGGGACGGCACGTTCGTTTACGAGAAACCGGCCACACCTAAAGGCAAAAATGCCGTCGACAAAACGGCATCCGTAAGTTCGAAAGTTCGCGACGACACGCGGGGCAGCGAAACGAGCGTTAAAGTCACTCGAGAGACCTCCTCGACCGACGAGGTATCGGTTATCGATCAGACGGTGTCTTCGAGTTCAAGCGTGAGGCGAGACTCGAAAAGGATTGTCGACGAGGGTCAACGATCCGCGACGTCTCGTCTTCGTGACATCACGTCGGAGAAAGTCGCCGTGGACACGACGGACTTCGCCGGCGACGGACATCCGAAAGGACCGGCTCGTTACTCGAAACCTGGCGACTCGGCGTGGGACGGCAGCTTCGTCGTGGAGAAAATTACGACGCAGCCAAGACGGCGTAACGACTCCGACGACGTGTTCCATCACGGTCCTAACGACAACGTCGTGGAAACGACGCAGAGGAGAGATTTCAAGGAGACGAGTGCGGATGGTACGTACGAGAAGGCATCATCCGAGACTGTGCGCGTCGTAAAAGGTGCCACGGACAGTACCAGATTCATTACCGAGGAGCGACGTGACGTAAGTAGAGAGAGTTCGATCCATGTCGATGGTAAGGAGGAACAACACCCTGCTCGCGTACCCAGCCCGCAGCGCAGACTCGCTAGACCCGGCGATTCCACATGGAACGGCGAATTAGTCTATGAAAAGCCGCGAGACGACGCGAAGAGACATCCTTCGGACGTCACCGTTGTCCGCCGAACGGAGAAGCGTCACGATTCCGTGGATGTTCAGGATGTCACCGAGGAACAGAACGTTTCGAACGTCTCTGAGTCGGTCTCTGCGTCCTATATCGTCGAGTACGCGATTTCCAGCGACAAGAAGAACGTCGAGAAGGTCACTTCGGTGTCCGAAGTGATCTTGGAGGAAGACGGTTCTGAAGATAGAGCCGCTCGTGGTCCTGCAAGTCCGGAGAGACAGACGAGAATAGACACGACCTCGCGCTGTTACAAGCCTGGCCAGTCTGCTTGGGACGGCACTTTTGTCTACGAGCGACCGATAACACCAGACAATCGTCGAAGACCAGAGGACAAACGCACGGTAAAAACAGTCGATATTCGAGACGTTACGGAGGACAATTCGATCAATGAAGTGGATGTCACGAGCACCTCTTACATCGTCGAGCATTCATCGAGTCAGCAAAGTTTCTCAGATATCAGGGACGCGAGTATCTCGTCCACGGTGTACGAGACAGTCGTTTACGAGGGACGTCCTGTCGAAACTACGATCAGATTCGACGGAGATACATCGCGAAGCAAAGTTTCGACGACGGAACGTCGGACCAGTCCCTCTCCACGGCCTAGAAGTCCAGAGAAAACATCGAAAGATAGAGATCTGCGAAGTACCAAGCCCGGATCGTCGACCTGGGATGGAACTTTCGTGCTGGAAAGCCCTCAAGATAAAAAGCGGCCACCTAGTAGAGAGTCCATTGAGAGTAGGCTGCCAGACAAATCTCGTCCAGTTGACAGCAAAAAGACCCCCGTGGATACATCGAGGAAACATGTTAGTGAAATCGCTATCGATCTACGAGATGTCACGCAGGATGTATCCAGCACGTCGGAGAGCGTGGAAAGTTCCGTAATTATGGAGCAAGCGAGGAAGCACGAAACTTACAGGGATTCCTCCAATCTCGATTTCTCGACGACTTCCGTCGAAACCGTCGTTATTCGCGACGGTCAGCCGGTAACGACGCAAAAAACAGTGACTATTCAAGAAGGCCCTCGCAGCCCCGCAAAGAGGCTGCCTGGTAGTGACGTAATAACTACTACCGACGTTAAAGAGAGTACTGTTAAAAGCTCTGAACGGAAGGAGACCCGCGCGGATGATAGAAGTTATCGACCTACGAAACCAGGCTCGTCGACGTGGGACGGTTCATTCGTGTACGAGAAACCGGAGGAAAGAAGACCAAGCGACAGAAAATCACCGAAAGATACACCTGTGGATAAACAAAGTCCGATTAAGGAAAAACCAATTGATCACAAGACAGTTACAATTTTGGACACAAAGGATGTAACAAGCACCGCTGATTATTCAACGAGCTCTGTCACGGTCGAACGAACGTTTCTCACGGATTCGGCGACATACGACTCTTCAAATATATCAACAACTTTCATCGAAGAAGGCGCAAGGGATAAAATCCGCGAAATCGATTATGACGGAAAGCCTAAGCCATCGCCTCGACAGCGCCCGGAAGATGCTAAGGAACTTAAACCTGAAAAATTGCAAACGAGTCCAGTAGACAGAACGCATCGTCCATCAAAGCCAGGCGCCTCCACCTGGGACGGATCATTCGTTTATGAAAAATACAGAAGAGAAAGACAGGAGATAAAAAGATATCAAAAGATACGCCTGGACCGGTAGATAAGCGAAGCCCAGTTAAAGAGAAACCGGGTGACATCACTGATCATAGGACATCTGTTACGATCCTAGACACATCGAAGGATGTAACGAGTTCTGCTGATTATGCTACGAGTTCCGTCGTGGTCGAGTTTGTCACTGATTCAAAGACATACGACTCGTCAAATATATCCAAAATTTTTATCGAAGAGAGTTCAAAAGATCAAATATATGCCATCGATTATGAAGGATCGAAACCCTCCGAGAAACCTAAACCGTCGCCTCGACAACGTCCGGAAGATGCTGTGGAATCTAAAGACAAAAAGCCGCAAGAAAGCCCGGTGGATCGAACGCATCGACCATCGAAGCCAGGCGCCTCCACCTGGGACGGTTCTTTCGTGTACGAAAAACCGCAGGATTCGCGAAAAAAACCGATGGCTGATGGGCCGGCTGAGACGCCGAAAAAACCGACGGACGAACGAAAACCAATCGAGAAAGGAGGAAAACCGATGGATCAAAAAGAAAAGCTGGCGCCGACTCCGATTTCACGAAAACCGACGGACGAGAAAACACAGATGGACGTCACCGAAATCCGATATACCGAAGATGTCGCGGATATCACACATGCGGATATCACGCGTACATCCGAGGTGCTTCAGCGATCCTCTTATGTAATCGATCAGTCTTCGAGATTTACTTCCGTGCAAGACGTGCGCGATGTTAAGGACGAACGCGTCATCACTGAATTTACCACAGACACGCGCAAGGATGTGGTGAGTAATTGCGAGACGTCAAAATTATTTATTACTTGTCTGCAGGAAATTGTTATAACCACGACTCAGCCAGTTTTCTGGAATAATACTCAAGTGCAAACATTTACTCTGTTTCAATATTTATTTTTAGAAATGTCGTCAAATATAAAAAATTTAAATTTCTACCGATACATTTAAATTCCCGATATTAATTTCTTGATAAACGATACCGACAAATGTCAGTTATTAATAAACTATTAATATATTTAAATTCTTTATATATTAACTTTTCAATAGTCGATTAATTAGGCAATGGACAAATTTATAAAAATTTTGTTAAGAGATTTTTTGCAAGATGTTAAAAGATGCTTCTTCTTTATTCACAAGAAAATTATTAAATATGCGATTTATTAGTTCTTAGAATGTAACGCTTAAATAAGCAACATTAATTTTCTACATCTATATCTATTTTCAGAAGTATAACTACAAATATTAAAAATTTTTATTTTTATTTTTGGTACCGGAATTCATTTAAATTCTCGATATTAATTTTTGCATCGTCAACAACGATCAAATGTCAGGTAATAAATTATTAATTTAATATACAAATTTTATCTTCATCTTTATATATTAACTTGTCAATAGAAAATACATCAATTAGATATCTAGAAATAAATAAATTTATAAAAATCTTGTCAAGACTCTGCCACATGAAATGCTTCTTTATATTATTCTTTATATAGAAATTCTTAAAACTGCAATCAGTTTTCAAGTAATATTTAAATGGAAAACATTCGTTCTATATTTATTTTCAGAAGTATAGCCGTACACAAATATTAAAAATTCGAACTTTTTTCCTTGATACACTTGAATCATCGATACATTAACTTTCTGATAGTCACCAAGGACCAAACGTCAGGCAATGGCCAAGGACCAAAACGACAGATTTATAAAAATCTTATCGAGACACTTTGAGCACAGTCCTTGCAGAAGAGGCTTGAACGATACTTTCACTTCCAAACCGGGCGAAGGTTGTAGGTTCACGTGTGTGGCGCCGTTGAAAATAAACGTGACGTAACACGGCGATTCGTAGAAGAACAGAAAGGGTTAATGCAGGAGAAAAAAAGAGCTGGTTTTGTTAAATCACATCTGCATTTGAAACAGGCAGAATTATATATATATATATATATATATATATATATATATATATATATATGTATAGAGAGAGAGAGAGAGAGATATACACTAGAACGATCTCTCTACAGTTGAGATTAAATTAAAGGCGATACCTTTTTTTATACATTCTTATCTTGACATAATGTTATGTCGATATTATTTAATGTAATACTCTCTGAGTATCGCGATAGAAAAACATAGAATTGATTTAATTACTGCTATATTATCTATATCATATTTATATATATTTATTACAACAAAAATAAGAAAAAATTATTATAATCGTTTATATTTTTAGAAATGACTCGACGGAACAACTTTCACCGCGGACATATATAAGTGCAATCAGGCTTGATCGAGCGTATGCAGAGTGATAATAATTGCATCCAATATGAGCAAATTTGGCAGTGATGTCATCGCTCAATGTAGCCCGCTTAATGCACCAATTGAATTTTACGCGTGTTCCGCGTCGCTTATCACGGTCGCCTCGTTCGAGTGCCATAGAAATCTTAGTTAAGAGATGCCACGCTGACGGACACGTGTGTGTGTGTACATTGACGTCACATCATCGCCGATTCCGGTGCTGATGGTAACAACCGATAACGTTAAATAAAATAACAATATATATATAACGGAGCAACGACTGTGCCGCTCGTCGTCCTATAGTAATTCCTTGTACAATTTCTGATACATTATAGTCAACTCAATATTGATTTCCTGTAATCAGTAAATACGAAATTGTGGTATCTAACTTTTTACGCGGGTTTTACACTAAGCCCGCGTCACTTCGACTGAAAAGTGTATATTATACGTTTTCATAGAAATGTGGGTCGATATCGAACACAAGATAAATGTCACGGATGACACTTTCATTCTTTACCGCTATAGCGATACTAAAAAGAATAGTATTTCTAGAAGATTGAAATCTACAATTTCTAAAAACTTTTTAGAAATTCTCGTTCAGTTTTTTAAATTATTATCTCTTTATACATATGAGAAAACTTTTTCCGTTTTTTTTTTCCACACTCTATTTCCTCGCAGTTAGATAAGTTCTTGACGTTCTTGCGTCACGTCTGGTGAAATTTTATGATTAATGTACACGCTGCTTATTGAAGATTCAACGCGGGTACTTTTCACTGTTAACAGCGGTGAACTTCCTAACTGAAGATGCTCGGAACAGTCTGAAACTTCACTGTTCGCGTAGCATCCCACAAATATTGAGATCGGCACTTCGGAGTTCACGTCGTCCAACGTCGTGGTCGGAATACCCGACCACGCTTCGCGCTCAAGGATAATTCACAGACTGCACTGGTAAATTGCAGTAGGTTCGCACGTTTAAACACCCGCCGAAGGAATTAAAAATAGACATTCTTAACTTATTCCGCATCATGCGGATAGTTCGTTTCTTTAAAGTGGCTCGTTCCAATTCGCACAGCCGTGACTTTACTCCCGAGGTCTCGAGATGATCGATAAACTGCTTTAGTAAGCTCGCGCTTGTACACGTGTTTCCCCCGAGTATTACTTCATCCAGCGCTTTGTGAATGAATACATCCAATAGAGGATATCTCCTCTGTTTATGAATCTTAAATCAGCTCAGACCGCTCCGCGTGGAATACGCGTATTATAATTGCAATTTTCATTACGTTGCTATTCAAAACAATTCATCCCGATGCTACGTTACACATACGCCCCCGTTGTTTTTGATTGTTCAACATGCAAACAGCTATAGAGAAGCGTGGCCTACATTGGATCGAGACACGATGATATGCGAACACATGCGTGATCGCGTTTCCTCGGCGCGAATCGGTATTATTATTTTACGATGACGCAAAATGCGCGCAATATCTCGCATCCCGTGTCACACACATGACGACATCGATAAACGCGATGATATTTTATTAACGGCATGTAATCACGTTCATCAAACTTCTTTCGAGTCGGGGTCCTTATTAAATTTCTAAATTTCTAGTCTACACGACGCACCGGCACGGAGACGATCGTTTTTAATCGTTTAAGATCCCAGACGGACCAAATGCTCGTCATGCGAAATATGTAAAGTTCAAATTATGTAAACGAGTTTCATTACGAGCAACTCTCGATATGGTCGAGGAGGGGCAATCAGCTTAAAGACTCAAGCTGCTTAAACCGCTAATTAAATGCCAAAACTTCATCTGATGTGCTTTACGCGAATTACGTTCGAGCGTTAAAAACGGCGCAAAGGATTTGAGTAATAGTATCAGCAAACGTTATCTGCCTCGTAGAGAGTCAAGTTGAAGAGAGTGCGTGCTTGTGAGTATAATGAGTAGCTCCAACAAGTTGAAAATAGACACGTGAAATTTTTGAGAGCGTCTCGGATGGCACAATATCATTTTACTCAAGTAAAATTTCAATGTACAAAACTGATACATCGAAACACATATTGGCTCAAATATTTTTCTAGATTTATAGGAACCGCTTATTGGTATCAGTTATATTACTATTGATTATCAATTTAACATTACATTTGCAATTTTGTGATAAAATATTATTTGATCTTGGTACACCAAGAGCAAATACTAATCGATGCATGATTAAAAAAAGAAGCCATAAAATCAAAATACATAAAAATTATTATATTAGACTTAAATCCTACCCAATAATAAAAAAATGTCATGACCAAAAAAATATTTATTCTGCAAACAGATAGCAATTAATGCTTTTACGTTATTTTTACGAAATATAAAATATTGAAATTAATCGATAAAAATCGGGAGCTATGAGCGAGAGAGAGATTCCAGAAATGTCTGCATTTCGATAAAAGTAAGCAATTGTTCGAAGCACGTTTACAAGATAGACTTGTTTGTATAAATCCTTTGCGTTGTCGGTGGTACAGCTCACAGTTCTATTTCTGGGAGTGACAGCGACGTCGTTAACAAAACTAAATCGCAAAAGTACGGTTCGACGGTTCGACAAGCGGGTTACGCGATACGCTGTAAGCGTGAACATAAAAGCCGTATACACCGATCTCGTGTTACCTGCATTCCGTCGAACTAAGCATTACTGGCGTTCCTAATCTCGTTCATGCCCGCGGCGCTCATTATACAGCACGTTTGAAGCTCGTAATGAACGCCCGAGGAAAAACGAAGTCGCATTTACGTCGTTATTACGCCTCGAAGTCTTTACTAACGTATCATCGAGGCGTTTATCGCGGCCGATTAGAATGCCAATCGAAATGGATCTTTGCTTGTTTTTTTAAATAACTGTTGCGACATTAACATTAGGTAATATCGCGTAAGGTTGCTATAAAGCTGTCAACCATCACCGGGCGAAATAGCGCTAAGGTTTGCAAGTGATAGCACGGCTATAACTGATAATTTATGTTTCCTGACACTTCCTAACAGTTTATATGCCACGTCGTTGCAATTACTTTTTATTATAGCACGAAGCAAGTATTATTTAACCGATACTATATTAATTTTATATGAAATTCTAGATATTATCTAGAATTATAGAAATGTGGTAATACTCAATACTTATAGTATACTCAACAATAATTAACATTGTAATTTGCACCGCGTGTAAAAGAGATATTAGCAATTGTTAGTAGAACGATAATCATAGCGAGTACTGACCGTATTACGGATATTAATTGACTAATTATCCTACTTCGACATCTTCGGATATTACTAATGAGAAAATTTAAAAGAAGTGGTTAAAGGATGATTTTTGTCATATCTTCCAGAGAGATGTTACCGAGTCGACGAAGGAATTTATCGACAAAGAGCAGGTGACTAGCATGGTAGCGCGGGATGTCGTTGACGACACCCGATTCGATACCGGCCCGGCACCCCGCTCTCCGGCGGATTCCACGAGGAGACCGTCGCCGGATCGGCCCGGTTATCCTCGTGGAATACCTGGGCTCAGGGAGGACGATCGACCGAAGCCAATTCCAACAGCTGGAAAGCCTAGTCGACCACCGCAACGCGAGAGGAGTCCTCAGCGACCAGCGGAACGTGGCAGGTGAGTGAAAAACTCAAATGTTTCTTCCTTCGCGAGCTATTTGTATACTTTTCTCGAAAAATATTTAAATAAAGGAAAAAAAACAAAATAAAAGCAGCAATTTGCAATTCGTCGATTAATGTTTTCGCAGGCCTTCCGAAGTTCGGCCGAAGTCGCCTGAGAAATTTCAGGATCACACGTCGCCGACTAGGAAACCGCAGCCAGCGGCTGGAAAGCCGAGCCGACCCGAAGAGAGACCGGTAGGACCTAAAAGATCCGACGAAGAATCTAGACCAGAGAGACCTACGGAGAAGAAACCGAAGAAATTAGAACAACCGAAACAAAGAGATCAAAGTCCAGATTCTCTCGACGAGAATGACGTCTCCTTTAAACCAGTACCGATACCAGACGTATTGTCGAAAATTCCTCTGAAGGAACAGTGCATTTGCGAGCTTTGTACTTGTGGGTGAGTCTTCCTTACGGTTAAAAGTTATCTTCTTACATATGCGCAGAAAGATAAAAAGATAAAGATATTCGGAGAAAGATATAGTATAATTATAAAAATATAAAATTCAGATTATAGTCGTTAAGTCGGGATTAAGATACCATCGCATCGTTTTAATTACTCCTGCGCCTATACGTTACAATTTTAAGATATTAATAGACATTACATATGAAGTATAATTAACAACTATAGAGCCAGCACGAGTACGATTTAATTTAACTTATCTGCACGTTCGCAGTAGAGAGGAACACGGTTGACCCACTTCTAAACATTATTAACAAGATCAGAATACAAAACTTGCCTGAGTCGAGGTGCAAATTGACGAGAGGAACGGGAGATTGTCTTCAAGGCCATATTTCCTACTCTATTAAATTCATTGCTGCGATCCATTCAAAGCTAGCTGAGTTTATTATGTACGAAATATCTAACAACACTTTAATGCCATTCCATTTTAATACCACTTTAATTCTAATATAAAATCTATCATATTTATTATTTAATACGTATAGCCGTAATTTTTCTCTCAAAAATGTTCATCTTTTCCATTAAATTATATTTTATTTTCAAAAAAACTTATTTGGCTTAATTAATTCAACTCGTGTCATAAAAAGGTTAAAGCAATATCACACCCCGCAGGTTTTTTATGTAAAAAAAAACGCTATATATGTATGCATAATGTGCAAAAGTAGGACACGAGACAGATCCTTTTACGGCAAGTTGTTCTGGGCGATGGCAAGTCATCGCACGATTCCTTCCTTATTCGAACTTTCCAACCTACGTAGCTTTATATGACGGTGACGAATCAAATTTACCATACAGCTTCGATAATTGCGTTAGACATATATCATTTTTGAAAAATATTGATTGCCTTCTTCAAAAAAAAAACTGATTACTGTAATTAACGTTGAATTTAATTTTTCTTTTATTTCTTTTAAACAGCTTTTAAATAACGTAGGTTAATCTCTTTTAAATTTTTTCACAAAAATAATTTATAAAAATTAAAATTAAATTAAATTAATCTTTCGATATCTAGACGAGATTTATATTTTTTATTTCAGTTTTTAATCTTTTCCAATAGCAATGGTCATGAGAAATTCTATGCACGTATACTTTTATATATGATTTATATAATTTATATAATGTTATATATAAAGTCAACACCCTGTTAGATTAAAAATCTTGACCTAGATAGAGACTCGTAAAGATAGATTCGCGAACGAGAGGTATAAGTTCGTAGAAAATTAGTCGTGTCGTGGCCGTCTCAAGAAGTAATTGCGGTTCGTCTACTCGCAGGCGATTAGTCGTTGGAAATTTCTACGTAAGTCTGCTTAACTTTGAGGTCTGCTAAAAACTTCTCTCTTCTGGTTTAACGCGGTTCTAAAGAGATCTTCATAATGTGTCACATAACATGGTTTTATCTAATAAAAAATACATGACGCTACTCGACTTTGACCAAGTCTGGCTTTTGCCAGAATTGCATTTCGTAATACCCGACGGCGAAGAAGAAGAGCGAAAAAGTGGTGCAGCGGCGAGCGGATTTTAACGTCGCTCGACATAGTTATATCGGAGTAGGAGATATCATGCGAGAAATCCCGTTGTCCAAACAAGACGAGCTGCTTTGCATAAAATATTGGCAAGGATTGCCGCGTTCAGTTTTCTCATACCGTCTGCAGTAACTAACCGGTATTGCCGTCGCAATGTAAAGCATCATCAACGAGATGCAATTCGTGCCATTCAGAAAGGAGAAAGCTTTTCGCTAATTAATACGATCAATGCGAAAGGAATGTCATTCGATAAAATCTTGAGTATATTCTCATATTAAATTATAGACGATGGTATCTAAAACTTTCAATGCGATCGCATTGTAAAGAACTTAATTAGTATTCTTGTAATCAAGAGCCGAAAGAGTCTAATTAATTGCATTAATTATTATCGATAACAACTCGATTTATGTGAGAACACACGTCATTAATGCATGTGCTGCGTTGTCTGATTAATAAATGGTCTCGCTACCTCGCTTCGCGTGCATAAATCAAGCACGCATTATAGAATAATAATTAATAAAGTAAATATTTGGAGTTATTTAAATTAGCTCTTAAACGAATGTATGATTTATTAAATTTATCATAATTCTTACAACATTTAAAAGCTATTTATTTTTAATTAATGATATGACATTAAGGTAATCGATATCTCGAAGTGCCGAATATCGAGCGAATTAATTACAATATATTACAACACGATCGCAATTTCGCTTCGGTGTGCGGTAACGACGTGTTGCAAATACTAACTCTGAGAATAACAAGACATTTAAAATCACGACATAAGACCTTTATATTCATTATAAAAGGATTGATGCCCTTTTGCGTCATATTTAAATCTCTATATGTGCCAAGCCTTTGTTATGCACCAGCTTTATTCAAACGAATACAAAAGCGGATAACAAGAATTTTCTCCGAACGCTTTCCTCCCTCTTTGTTAATATTAAACAGGCATATACTGTAAATGTAACAAGAATGGATGGAGTTTCGTTTAATAAAATATGATGCTTTTAAGTATGATGAAGGCAAGTTCGAAGACAGCTGATTTTCCTTATGTACGACGACGTCTCACAACGCGTACTTATTTCTCGTGCAATCTGAAAGATATATCACGATCGATATTATGATTGTAGTAACTATTCTTGAATACTGAAAAGATGATGACATTTTAGACGCCATCGCTGCCCGCATAATTGGCCTCAACAACATTTGGAATTCCTTCATCAACAAGAACCGGTGCAGATCGTGACATCTTATCGTCAGGATTACGATGAAAAGCGAGTGGAGAAACAGACGAAATACTATCACGAGGATCACTTACATACAGAGGGTGAATTCATCGGACAGAGACGGACCGACTATGTGGCTACCAAGGGCGAGAGGGCGCCGGTTAGGAAACCGCAAGATCATCTCAAACCTGAGGGTGAGTTTGTCAGAAGACCAAAGGAAGAGGCACCTACGAGGGGTGAAAGGGCGCCTGTTAAGAAGCCGCAAGATAATCTCAGACCTGAGGGCGAGTTTGTCGGCAAGCCTCGAGAAGAAGCTCCGAAATACGGCGAACGAGCGCCAGTTACGAAGCCGCGAGATAACTTAAAATTCGAAGGAGATTTCGACAGTAAGTTTCGATGCTCGCTTGATTACGCTCGTGAACTTATTATTAATAAACTTGCTTCTTTGGTTTCAGTAGAATTATTTTAATATGTACTAAAGTAAATATATTTTCGTAAAATCATACTCGACAGAGGAAAGAAGAAATGAATTTTGTTAATTTCTAGCTACAACAACGACCGAATTGGTTTTCACCGGCACCCCCGGTGAACGACCGACTCCGATACGACGCAATACTTATACGAAGATAGAGGGTGATTTCACGACTGACGAAACGACGACGCGATCGCAGTACATTGATCATCGCAGCATCCAACGCGCCGAAATCATTAAACGAACGGATAATCTCACTGTGGGAGAGGGTGAATTTACGGTTAGTAGCTTTAACTTTATTTTCAGATTTCATTTTAACTAAAATATTTACGGTTAATATGTGCGGCTTCTGTTCCTTCATTGTTCGTCACAATTATTTTGCAGGGTACTTCTCATATCAAGGAAGATTTCCAAACTCATGTTATCGAGCGTGAACCTCAATGGCGACCGAAATATCCTGAAGACACTGATAGATTTTACAGCAAAACAGACATCACTGACAGTACTA